TCTCTGTCCGTGTATCTACTCACAGAGTATTGTTCCTAGGTTGTGTCTATATCACTATTTACCTCTATTCCTTTTAGCCCTTGTATACCCACTTGTGCCTTCACCTGTATTGATTATACTTCTGCCAACCTCCCTCTTCTTGTATATTTCCCTTTCCTTTCTTGTTTGTTGCCCTCCCCTTAACCCAACTTACATGTGTCTACCCTGTAACCAGTGAAGTACTCTCCCTTTCCTCCAACCCTTGGCAGTCATCAAAGAATATTTTGTTTTTCTTTCAAACTCACATTATGTGTGGGCTGTAAAAGTATATAAGAGTGTCTCATTGTTCCTCTCTGACCCATTCAGCACATGTCTCAATCCATTTTATCTATGCCCAGACACTTTTAGTTCAGGGTTGTGTATGTATCGCTGTTTACATCTATCCCTATCAACCCTTGCATACCTTCCTGTGTGGTCAACTATCTTCATATTCTTTTGCCACTCTCCCTCTTCTTATATATCTCCCTCCCCGTCACCCAAGCTAACATGTCTACCGTCAAGCCAGTGAATTATCCTCCCTTCACTCCCACCCGTGGTAAACATCAAAGAATGTTTATTTTAGTATGGAAACCTTTTCTTAAGCTTTTACAATAATGGTCTCATACAATATTTGTTCTTTTGTAATTGATTAATTTCACTTAGCATAATGTTCTCCAGGTACATCCAGGTTATGAAGTGTTTTGCAGATTCATCCTTATTCTTCATTGTTGCATGGTATTCCGTTGTGTGTATGTACCAAATTTGTTTATCCATTCTTCCATTGATGGGCACTTAGGTTGTCTCCATCTTTTTGTAATTGTGAATAGTGCTGCCATGAACATTGGTGTACATATATCTACTCGTGTCCTGGCTCGTATTTCTCGTGGATGTATACAAAGTAGAGTAATTGCTGGGTCATAAGGTATTTCTTTTTCCAGTTTTCTAAGGAATCACCATACTGTTCTCCAGAGTTGTTGTTGTTGCT